CCGCAACCAAAAGCAGACTGGGGTGGACTCTCCGTCACCAGCCACTTCCCTACCCAAACCCCCAAGCCAGTCTTCCTCATCGACCTCCTCCTCAGGCTCCCAGCCACAGCCCAGGACTGTCAAGGTGATCCACTCTGTTTGTTGAAGATAATAACATGAAAGTGAACCTGGAAGTTTTATTTTATGTAGAGTTATAGGTTCAGTTGTCCATGCAACATTTGTTTTTGGGTAAAACATGTTAATTCCCTTTTTTAAAGTGCCTTATATGCTTCACCTGAAAGTATATATGCCTTTAAATAGTCTCTGAAACACACTGCTACTAACAGTGCACCGATACCTTTTTTCCAAACCGAGCACTTGCTGATACGAGTACCAGTACAGTACTTGGTGATGATGCTATTCTTTTTTACTATAAAAATACAGTGAATAGAAACTGTTGTTTATTTTCATGAGATTTATTTTATGATTGTAATTCAGAAAAATATAATGTCAAAGTTTAGGAACACAATATCACAGTCGGAAATTGAAATCTTTAATTGAATGAGGGTACGTGTTCTTACTTTAGCCTGGCGACTGTCTGTGGCTTCGTCTTGTTGTCTCTGCTGGACACATACCTGCAGTGCTGTAGAGGAGCTGCTAGTCCACAAGGATTCAACTCATTTTCATATACAGAGTTCATTAGACTCTGCTGTTAACTACATAAAGTTAGCGTTTGTTTTCTTCTTGTTCACAGCATTTCTCTCCAGTCAACATAATGAGCACCATATGGGTTTAGTGGGTGAACAAGGGACCAGGCATTTTGAACACAAGAGAATGAAGACCTTGCATTTCTTCAACTTTGTGTTTTGCTTGTTAGCAGCATTAGTTTAATGAATTACTCTCTCCATTACTGTTGTATTTTGTTCCATATATCAAGTGTTGATATCTCAGTAAAATACACCCTCGTCTCTGTCAGTGAGCGCCCCTCCCTCACCATCTCATACACAGAGCTGAAAAACACAGCTCACAGTTGGATTTACTTCTGTGGTCTTTACTTATCTTAAACTATCCTTGAACTGATGAAATTTCTTCTCCACCGCCTAACAACCTGCTCAACCAGGGTGAGTTTAATGTAGTGTTGCCGTTAAGTGGTAGGTGTGTAGTATTGGACCACTTTTACAAGTACTAGAGGGTGGTATCGTACGCTAACCGTTGCCATTGGAGCTGATTTAAGAATGATGCTCTTAAACAGCTGTGGCAAAGAAATTTAATGTGATGACTGCAGTTAGAATCTACAGCTGCTGTGGTCCAAGTGTAACATGTAGGCAAACTGGAAACTTATTTACTTTGAACAACAAGTGGGATTTAACACAATTTCTTGCATTCATTGCCTCATTTATTTCTTTGGTTTGCAGCACATTTACTGTGCTAGTTGTTTAACACTATTTGTTGATTATTTTATAGTTTGACTGTATTTGGAGGGAATACAACAGCTTTTTGTGCAGTAGGTAATCTGGGATTGTGTTGTTCTTTTTTCCCTCTTGTCTCATTTACTTTCAGTGCCCCATTTTTGAACTGTGTTTTCATTCACTTGAACGGGAACCAACAGTTTGGGGGAAGTTGTGCAAAATGCAAGACCCAAAGTGTTCAGTCTCTTTACATCCAAAACTGAAAAGGTTTGACAAGATTAATCTGATGGGGTTATACAGAAGGATACTAATGGAGTAAGGTTATTGTTTGCTGTTGTAAAACTCCCCTGCAGTTAAATCCTTGCTGTGTTTGTTCATTCCAGGTGACCTGCGCTAACTGTAAAAAGCCTCTGAAAAAAGGCCAAACCGCCTACCAACGTAAAGGGTCCACACACCTGTTCTGCTCCACCACCTGTCTGTCTGCCTTCTCACACAAACCCGCCCCCAAGAAGAGCTGCACCATGTGCAAGAAGTGAGTCTCCATGTGGAGGTGCAGGGACTCCATTGAATAGGAAACACTTTATGGTTTTATTTTGGTAGCATGTGCGGGGCAATATGTTTGATCTTACTGAATCTGAAGCAGTTTGGTTGGTGGAGATTGGAGAAATCTTTTTTAAAATGTATTGCTTTTGAGTTACTTTACTTAGCGGAGTAACAAAACAGCTTATACAGTGTGATCTTTAAGAATCTAGCTTTTTCTCATCTTATTCGTATAATTGGTAATATTCATTTTGATTTGCTGACCAGGCGAGTATGATTAACGCTAATAGGACCTAAAAGTGAAAGTAAAAGCAACAGTAATATAATGAATATCAGGTATACCAATCACTGATGTTTTGCATTCATTGATGCACTGCTACAAATAATAGAATCTGAGATGACAGAATTCAGCGATTGGCTGAAGCCAAGCGCTCATCCTTGTCACGTTATCTAAGGTTACTTTAACACAGATATTTCTAGAAGTGATTTGCTGTTTCTCCTTTATTGAGAGTACCCTCCTACAGACATCACATTTTGGGGTTGCTGCTTTGTCTTTGGAACGTGTAAGCTTTTTCCTTGGCCTCAAAGCCAAATCTGGGTATTTTACAAACTAGGAACTAGATTCCAAAATGGAACTGGCTAACAGAACCCATCCCTAAGTGTGTGGAGTGCTTTCAAAAGCAGCGTGGTTGTAACAGTAAACCAAGTTTGTTCTTTTGTAAGAATTTCCAGTGATTGTGAGTTAGGTGTTGAACTTGTATTGTTGCAAGTTCTAAACACAACTTTTAAAAACAAGTACAGCTTTTATTCTTTTTGCTAACTGATGCATGTTTTCTGTAGATGCTAATCTACCTGCGCTCTGTGATGTGATTGTGTTTTTCAGGGACATCACAAACATGAGGGGTACCATCGTGGCCCAGGTTGACTCCAGCGAGTCTTTCCAGGAGTTCTGCAGCACCGGCTGCCTAGGTGCATACGAGAACAAGCAAAACCCACCCAAATCGGGCCTCAAAACCAAATGCACTGTCTGTGGCAAGCTCACAGAGGTCAGTCTGTGTGACTCAATGAACAACATGTGCATTTACCACATTCTCAACAGAGCGATGTGCATGCCGCTATGTTCCTGACAGTGGAATGAATAATTCAGTAGCACTGGAAAAGGCATGGAAGGAAATGATTCAAGGGGCATCAGTGGTATACACTGGCTTACCAGTTTATTAGCAGTACCTGCACAGTATAATGTAATATAGAGGTCTCTCTAGTAGCGATTCCCTCAGAACACATGAAATAGTAGTCAGTTTCGGTATAATGCAGTCCATTGCCAGATGAGCCCCAGAGGTGCTTGCATGGCTGTAGATTGTTAGTCTGTCTTTTTATTATTTACATCCTTGGCTTGGATGTTTGTTTGCTCATTAATTTTGAATTTGATGCCCGCAACACGTTTCAAAAGAGCTGGGACAGGGGCAACAAAAAGAAAGTTGAGGAATGCTCAAAAAACACCTGTTTGGGACATTGTACAGGTGAACAAGTTTACTGGAAACAAGTGAGTGTCATGATTGGTATAAAAGAAGCATCCCAAAAAGTTCAGTCATTCACAAGCAAGGATGGGGGCACGGTTCACCACTTTGTCATCAACTGCATGAGCAAATAAGAATGGGAAAGATTTCCACCAACAGTTAGTGTCCTCAGTTCCCAAACACTTAATAAGTGTTGTTAAAAGGAAAGGTGAATGTGACACAGTGGTAAAAATATCCCTGTCCAAGCTCTTCTGGAACATGTTGCAGGCATCAAATTCAAAATGAGTGAATATTTGCAAAAAACAATGAAGTTTATCAGTGTGAACATGAAATATCTTGTCTTTGTGGTGTATTCAATTAAATATGGGTCAAAAAGGATCTGCAAGTCATTGTATTCTGTTTTTATTTATATTTTACACAATGTCCCAACTTCATTGGAATTGGGGTTTGTAGACGACAGTAGCAGTGGTTAGCGGTGGTACATGACAATACCACAGCCTGACACTAAATAGATAATCTTCTGCCAAGTTCCCCTTAACAAGCAAAAGTTGGTTCTTTGCGGTGGGCAGGTTGCTTTCTACAGTTTTGTACGACTTTCAAGCCTGTTGGGTAATGTTGTATGGGCTGTCGTGCTTGCTACTTGTCAGAGGTGTGTGGCGAGGTGAAGTGTTGGACACAAGTCCTTCAGTGGTATTGTGTTTATTCATGTTCAAATTATATCAGTAAATTGGTCCAAGCAGACGCCTCCATTTTCACATTGGGAAGCCCTGTTGGATTTCCACTGAGATATTTCTACTAAGCTAGGACTCCACTAAAATTTAGTGGAACAAAATGTGATACATAACTACATGGGCAGTTCATAAGAAACATAAGTTGATGAAGCTCTAGCTGCTCCTTCTGTATTTGTCTCTGTCTACAGATCCGGCATGAGGTTAGTTTTAAGACTGTGACCCACAAGATCTGCAGCGACGCGTGTTTCAACGTTTACCGCAGGGCCAACGGGTTGATCATGAACTGCTGCGAGCAATGTGGCGACTACCTGCCTAGCCGAGCATCAGCCAACCACTTCCTGCTGGTCGATGGCCAACAGAAACGCTTCTGCTGCCAGAACTGCCTCAAGGAGTACAAGCAGGTACTGTAGGCCCAACTGCAGGCTGCCTGATTGGAGCCTGTGTGATTCATTCATTTATTTCATTCAGCCATAGTGACTTAGTCACAGCTCTGCTTTGACAATTAGAAATGCGAAAATACAGCTTCTTTTGTGATGGATCATGGCAAACATAAGGCAATTCAACTGCCCCTAAAGTGCAACTAAATTGTTGCTAAGCAATATTAGCCACAAATTAGTGTTTGATATTGTATTTGTTGCTTAGCAACACCAACTTATTGGACATGTTCCTAGTAAGTGGAAGCAACCATTGGGGTCTGTCTCGTTTCATTTGTATGAAATTCAAACAGTTTGAACAGTGAGTTGGTGTTTTTCAGATATCCACTGTGTCCAGTCATCCTGCACAAGACTGGTCAGGTGCTTAAACAGTGAAACATAACTGGATGATTTGTGGACGGTGGACAGAAGTTCCTGGCCTCCATTTATTCGATTCCCACGTGTCCTGAAAATCCTAGAATTTTTAAACCAGCTTTCCAGTAATGGTAATTGAGACAAATTGTAGAATGTCCTGGAAAACACGTCATCATCCTGGAAAGTAATTTTCACATTTTTGGATTTTCCTTTTGCTGAAAGCAAACTCCCAGTATGAGAGAAGATGATTTCAAAATTCTCTTCTGCCTCTCAATTGTTAAATAATTACCTTATTTTCCCACTCGAATACTATCACATCTTCCTTGTTGGTCCTTATTAAGATAAATAAATAAGGTAAGGTAAAATAAATAAAAGTGAGAATGGGGCCAGGCTTGCAGCTCATATTAAACCTTTTCAAGTAGCTCAAAAGTAAATTTCCAGGGCTGATGCTGCCACTGCTAGTCACTGTGATGATAATATAGTAGGACAAAGAGTATAATTTGTCTGCTTTTATGGCCAAGCGTTGGGGAATGGGTCACAATACAAACAAACTATTGGCTACAGAACACAATAGGCTAGTTTACTTTACTAATCCTCCTATGTCGTCAGGGTGTACTCGGTAAAAGCCAGAAGCCACTTTGGATTCACAACAAAAACATTAAGAGATGTATGGTGTGCATAGAGAGTCTTCTATTTATGCGTTTGTTTGGACTGTAATGTTAATAAAATGGCTCTAAACTATTTGATAAAAGCCTTAAAAAGCTCCATTTTAACCGTTAGAGCACCTTGTGTTTTAAATGAATTGAGATGGAAATGCTTTTATTGTTTAATCAGTTAACCGTATCACTGACTTGATGTGATCTTGTCATTGCAGAACAATGTCTGTTGTGGTTTGATGTTTCCCCTCTCTGTCCCAGGCCCACAGTAAACTTGCTAGCTGCCTGACATGCAAAACACTGATCAAGACAGGTGAGGTGCTCCACAGCCTCGGAGTGGGCAGCACCATGGGCTCCTACTGCTCTGTCAACTGCATGAACAAGGGCAAGCTTGCATCTGCCTCCTTCCTCAGTGAGTACACAAACACAAGAGTTGCAGACTTTGAACTATGAGTTTTTATTAACCACAAACTTTATTAATGTCTTGTAAGGACCATCCAAAATGCACCTTTGACTGGCAACTTCTACCACATTACAGTTTTTTGGACCAGAACAAAATCTCCATATGGTTAGCACAGTTCAAGAAGATGTTGAGCAGATGTTAGTGACAAAGGAAGGCGGTAGAAGGAACACAATGAATATTTACTATGGTAGTGGATGGGGAGCAAACTGTTGAGGTTCAGAATTAAATTACTTCTTTATCTGAATGTATTTCTGATGCTTGATACCTGACTTGAGAAAGCAGCAGAGGACAACTCCTGTTAACTTAAAGCTACAGTGTGTAACTTTTTCCAAATATTGTTGTAGCAATCTGCTCAAGAACTTATCTTAATGTGGAGAGGTTCTGTCGAAGCCTCCTGTGACCCAGACTCATTGAACAGCACTGGCAGCAGTGCTGAGATATTAGCTTCTAAAAGGTATTGAGTGGGATTGACCTCTCTAACCAATCTAACCAATCAGATATTTTCAGTTATTTCTGCTTGATCAGTCAGTTTTGTTGCATTCTCATTTATTTTAATTTCCTAATGACAAATGTCTGAAGAGTTGGGCAGAGAGTGGCGGGTCGTAATACTAGGGCATAGTGGAGCAGGGAGAGGTAGTGCTGGGTGGGGCAGAGTGGGTTGGTGTGTTTCATGTTAATGCTACCTTAGGTTACATTTTGTAGCTTAATTGTAAAGATGCACTGAAGATGCACTGTAGATCGGATTTGGCCAGTTTTTAGCTTGACCGACCCTGACCGATGATCGGCCGATCACTGAAGTATCTGATTCTGTGCTGGTCCAAATTACACACATGATTGTTCATGTTTGCACACAGTGGCACAGACTGAAAGTGTAGCATGCACAGCACATAGCATCTCATGTGCACCTAATGCTAGGCTCACAATCATCTTTATACAAGGCGCATGTTCACTCGTGCGTCGGAAGTGCTTGGTGTACATAAAGTGCACAGCGGGGCCTACAGAAACACCTTGGGGAAGGGAAGACTGTGGTCCAACACTATGTACCATAGTACCAAATGAAGGAATTACTGGCTACACTTGAAATCCATGTGTATGTACAGTGGATCCTACCCATGAAAAAACACCAAATAAACTACACACACTTTAAAAAGAACTGCATGTTCAGGAGGATTAATGGAACAGACATACTTGTTTCTCTTACCTGTTGCACCTGTTTATATTTGGAGAAGAAACGGTTTCTTTCATCAAAGGACAGGCATGTGTACTAAATGCATTTTTGTGTCAATGTTTTGTGTGTGTGTGTAGACACAGAGCCCACATGTCACTTCTGTAAGAGGAATTCATTACCACAGTACCAGGCCACACTGCCAGAGGGAAACATCCTCAACTTCTGCAGCTCCCAGTGTGTTACCAAGTTCCAGGTAACAGGTCAAAGCAGGAGACACAAATACGAGACCTTTTCAAAAAATAGTTCCAATGGCAATTAACTGATCCTACTAGTGGCTGTTGCATTGTGTCTCTCTGATGGGTTCTGGATTAGTCAAATGAAAACTTCACATTGTTCGCTGCTGTGCCTCAGTTGCTGTGAGGCTGAAGCAGGTGTAACTGAAAATGAGCAGACATACATGGATTGAACTAGACATACTGATTTGTGAATTTGTTTCACAGTTTCTCTACAGATCAGTATGTATATCGACTGTTATTTTATCTGAATGGCTTGATGGTCAAAGTTGTGAACATTAAATCCAGATATTGTCGACTTATTCAACACATTCTCATTAAAACTGCAGCTCCTAGAAAAAAAACTGTTCTCTAAATGTACATATTAATACTAAAACAGATTTTCTTCAAAGTGCTATGTTTATGGTGCACATAATACCACCCATATGCATGTTGTTTTGTGGGCTTATAGATATTTGCAAGTCAGTATGTGTTAATCACCGTAGCTTAAGTAATGACCTTTGTAGTACAACTAGGTGTTTTAATATGTCAAGTATACAAACAGTTCAGGAGCAGCATTAGACAAGTCGGCTGCGAGTCCTCAGAAATTTTTGATTTTCTCCACATGATGTCTTTCTTCACAGAATGCTACTCTTCAAACAGCCACCAATGGACAAAC